ATCTGGTTTCTGGAGATTAAACTCTGCAATTTTATCTGTCATAGATGGGAGAAACTTGCTAGTATAATAGCACAGTAACTTAAGAGTAAAAAAACCCAACACACATATGCACATATGTAACTACAAATAGATGGGTGTTTGCAAATGCTATTGTGGCAATATGACTTTGCATGATTCCCTACTAAATCTCACCTAGTCAAACACGCTCAGTCCATTTTTAGTACCGAGTACTAGCCAGTCACGAGTTTTTTCTGACTGCTCTAGCAAAATCCAGCAGATGCTAGATTAAGTCTGAAGACACATAGAAAAATTTAAAAAAAATACTATTTGGAATTGATTTTGTTTTCAGTGGATTAAAATCCTATGAAATAGCCAACTGTTGTTGGTCCCACTAGAGGTTTCATGTCCAAAATAATTTTGCAATGGTGCACTAAGTATGCTGAACCACTAGCATTCAAATTTAGCAGAAACAGGTATCTATGCTAATAATGTCAACCACAAAATTGTAAGATTTTATTTACCATCTGATTTATGTAGTGAACCCTTGGGTAGTATGAAGATAAATGCCTGAAAGCTCCTTTTCAGACCCAGTGACTTTCGCTCTTTTAAAAATGTCAGGTAGCATTCTTTTGGAGTAACATTAAGCTTTTAACATTAAGCTGACTTAGAATTAACACAAATATACAGATTTGCTGACTTCTATGAAAGCTTTGATTAGCTGGTATTAAAGCACAGTCACAGGCACCTCTATATTCTCTGTTACAAAAGCGTACCTTGGCTCAGAGGACTGTCCTTGGACACAACCTGGTCTGTAAGGCACAGCTTTTATTTCACTTTACACAAACAGAAAGAAAACAAAAACAAAACCTGCAAGCGTTCACCTCCCCTTATAACAAAAGGGAACTACAAATCCGAAGTGGCTTCAAAAATGAAGTATTGTCCCAATTTCTTTATTGCTTATGAATCTGTAGAGTACATGACTGATATCCCCTTTAAGTAGGGATACCTTAACTTATATCGGCTCAGAGGGTTTTTTAACAATTTTGAAATTATGAAGCATTAATATCAAACTATGTATTTTCTTTTTTTTCCTTGATACAGAAGTAAGCCTTCTAAAGTGCTCCACGAATTTTTTGCCAATTTGCCTTCCTCTGTAAAATGGCAAAAAATTTTTACAGACATATTTGCCAAAAAGTGTGGCAAAAAAGAATTTAGAGGAAGACCACTGGTTTATTTGTATTTTTCTACTAGTCAGTGGGCTTTTTTAGATATTAATTTTTACCTATCTCAGAGTTAAAGGAAACAGGATGCCAGTTGTGCAGCATTCACTAGAGGACCTATATTGGCATCGTAACTGCTTATGTAAGTTAGAGCTCTATCTCTTAAGGTTTCAAGACGCTGTATTCTGCAGTTTTATTTCCTTCTTGGAAAGCAAGTGGGATGTTTGCTAGGAAATTACTTTTATTGGGAAATACTGGAACTTAATTACTACTTTGGATGACCCACTTGAAATGAGAATTATGCCATTTTTACATAAGTCTATCTGGTGATACTAAACCTAGATAATTGGCTTCAATGGAGATCAAGTCTTTGCTGCAAATGTATAAAAATATCTAGCTGGCTTACTAGCTTATAATTCACATCAGAAAATGATCTAGACTTAAAAATTATGGGAGTTTAGAAGTTTTAAATCATATAGGAAATTTTCGTGGTTTTGTTCTACAGAATTTGAGCTAACTCTAAGAGCTTTCTGAACACTCTGGGAAACAGTAATCATTTCAAAAGTTTATGAAGTCACTAAAGCTGTGAAGTCACTGATTTCTTTGTTGAGAAGTCACATGACATGAGAAAAGCATATTTAGCTCATTTCCATACCACTAAATGGGACTCTGAGCATCTCGGAATCCTACATGAAAGAACTTTACTACTACTAAACTTGATATTTCACACAGATTTTAGAAAAGCTACAGAGTGGCAAATTGTAGCTGGATGAGGAAGTGAGTATTTGTAATTAACATGATCCCAGAGGAAAATATTTCGCAAAAAAAACCTTTCCTTTTGAGTGTTCTTTTGTACTTTGTCATTATACATGCAGAACAAAACACCACCAAGTCTAAAATCGTCTTTACCCTTACAAAACATCAGTATTATGGAATGATACAATTATGTCCTATTCTGACAGCACCGTCATAATACCACAGGAGTTTACTTGTTGCAGAAATCTAGCAGTTTAAATAAAGAATTAAAGGTCACAATCAACAGATGGCAATTAGATTTCAAGACTAAGTGTATTGTCACATCAAGAACTATTTTCACTAGCATGCCCATAAAGAAGAAAAACTTAAGGAAAATACAATCTGCTTTCCCTTCATGTCAGTTGCACCTCTGAAGTCTTGAAAATTCTTACAGATGTGTTTTGTGCTTAAGTGGAGCAGAGGAGTATGCAGCCTGTCCAAAGTCACTCTCCGATCTAAAAAATAACATTTTTCACTAAAGGCATATGTTCTGCTATAATCAGTAGGCTGACATACCTAACTAAAGAAAAAATGCTCATTAATAGGTGAAAAATATAAGAAGTTTCTTCCTGACTTCTTGGTTTAGCAGAATATTTTCCACAGATTTCAGTTCTTTCTAAACTCTTCAGAACATCCACAGCAAATGCCTGTCCACAAGTTGCTGAGTAAGGCTGAATAGTCATCCTCAGGAAACAGGGGAAGCATTGTCTGCCATCTCTGGCTTTAGCCATCTCCTCTTTTGCCCCAGCTCTGGTTCCCTTTGGACCCACCTCTGAGTTGATTCAACGTTTTACCAGTGGCTTATTAGGAAAAAATACAGGAATTTTCTTTCCCCTACTCCTGCAGTAGTTTTCTCGCAGGTTGAAGAGCTTTTGAGCATCCATGAGGTGAATTAATGTGCCACAGATGATCCAAGGGGAAGTGGTGGGAAAGCATGGCCCCTAGCAGAAATCAATTGGTGCTTACCCTGCCTCAATTCACCCTTGGGACTAGAGTCTCAATACTCTATCAGAAACTTGGTCAATCAACTCTTAGACTGATGCCACTGGGGGACCACTCCAGGAAATTTTGAAAGAAGACACTAAGATACATAAATATGTAAGACTATATTTTAATGAGCAGTTTAAATAAATCTACCTTAAACTAGCTAATCATAGGTCATAAAAAGCTGTTTTCAAGTTGTAATAAACAACATCTTACTGAAACCCAGAGCAGTCTCTCAGTAACAACTTGCAAATGGATGCTATAAAATTATGTGCTTCCTACTCATTATAATGACAATTAAGACAATTTAAAAATACATATGCTACAGGCTTAATTAAAAAAACCCAAACCCTATTAACACAGCATGAATGAATCAACTGTTCAAACAATGCTTTAAAATTTTACACCTAACTTCTAATTGAGGGGCTGTCCCCACTTTTTCCCCCAAGAATAAAGGCTACTATAACTTTCAGAAATGGAAACCTAGAACAAGTTAAACGATGTAGTAGTAGAGCAGGATCAACAAATGTAGGTTGTTGAAATATGAATTTTTAAAGAATGCAAACAAAATGCCACATTAGTTCTCCATAGCTTTTTTTCAAAAATTTTTTTTCATCTGAGTTTTCATTCCTCCTACTGTAGCATTTGACAGGATTCATAAATAGCAATGATTGTTCAGCATTTTGTTGGGTTTTTTTTCCTGTTTTAACTCTCCTTTTATTTTTGGATGTGTTTAAACAGTCAAAAGTGACTGCTAACATCTGTCAATCAGCCAAGTATAACAGCACCCCCTTCTGGTTTTTACAGCATGAAATAGAATCACAAGATAAAAATGAAGATATTCTAAAATTAGGTATTTATTCATAAGAAATAGGCAAAGGAATATTAATGTCACTACGTTAGCCCAACCTATTCAACTGTAGGGGCTGAGGAGCAATTTTAGGAATGGTTCTTGCAGGCCGTGAGGTGGCTCTGTGCAGGTGTGGTAGCCAGTGTGTCTTCATCACTGTATGCGGTGGCAGCACTCCAAATACCTGTTCATGCAGAGACTCCCTTGACAGCAAGCCTCCTGTCCCACTGCTTCCTCCCCTAGTGTGGGCATAAAGGCTAATGATCCAAGTACCTGTCTGTTCTGGGCTCATGCTGCCTGAGCAGCCATTTGTCATCTCTTCTGATGCAAACGTGGTGGGTGGAGAGGATTATCAGATGGGCCAACTCTGGGCAACAAGTTAGCTTATTCTGTTTAATTAGACCACCACTTTGGCCGAGCAAAAATTTATAATCTCAGTATTAGTATCTTAAAACTTGCATAGATTTACAGGAAGAAGTGTCCCAGACTCTGAAACATTATGCTTCCACTGTGTTTTGCCACACCGAGCTGTATATTGCTTACATAAGAGTTGTTTCATATTATCTATGTGCCTTTACTTTAAAATATTTGTTATGAAAACTTTCAAGTACTGATCATTGCTCCATTAGCAAACAGCAAGTTATGGTAAACAGGTGACACTAATCAATGAAACAATCAAATTGCAACCAGCCATTTCTGCTGAAGGAAAAAAACAAAACCAACCTACCATATAAGTAACACCACTGAGATGCACTGAAATCAAACCTGATCCTGCAAGCTGAAGAACAAAAGTGGGTGTTCAGACATCTCTGTATAGATTAGCTTACTAGGCTGGGGTCTTTTTTTTCCTCCATTGGCTTTTTCTGGTAATACTTGATACAATTTAGTTTTAAAAAGCAGGTACATTCCATGCTGTACGTATGTGCTAAAATATGCACAGGACATACTTAACTATAATACATATCTTTTTGTTGAATTGTGTGGTAAAGGAGCATTATTTCAGGTGTAGATATAATTACAATGGTAATGGAGCGGAGTGGGGGAGATCTGCAATACTGAAGTTTCCTGAGTGGGAAAGCAGACTGAAGTGATGGTGTCATCTGCAGTCTCTCCCTCCAAACACATCATCTCTACAGATAAATTCACACCTGAATATAAATGTTGTTGTCATTTACAAGATCCCATTTTCTCCTGCTGGATGTTTTGAAGGATCTAGCCCATGCTGCTTCATCTGCACTGCAATATCAAACAAGTAATCGTAACACTCACACCTGAAATTGAAAGGGAAAAAAAAGTGAAAGGTAAAGTAAGGCTCAAGTCTTACCACGTCTTACGAAAATTAATAGTTTTCTTTCTTGAGCTTTACATCACCAATGTGACAGTCTGACTGGACAGCTCTATTATCATTTATTTCCATTACTGAGGTATGGAAAATGCCTGGCATTTTTGCTACATGATCCTGATTTGCTGCAGTTCCATCAGCAAATGAAGAACTAAATTACAAAAATGGGACTAGGAAAGACTACACAAACTGTATTGGCAGGTGTTATATAAAAGCAGAGATTGCCTGCAGGTTTCATATGAGGAGGGACTTGTCCATATGAAAGGAAAATGTTGGAAACCCTTACAGCCAGCATATGATATGAAAGGAAAACCAAGCGGTGGAATCATGGATGAACCCATTCCTAAAAGCTCCCTATACATTCAGTGAGGCCAGAACTTAATGTTCTGAATCATTATCCATGGGTTGGAAATACACAGGATATTAAAGTCATTAAGATTTTGAGGTACAATGGCAAAAGATACCATATGCCTAAATTGTACTCACATTGTTTTGGCTTTTTCCCATGTTTCTCCCCATACGTAAACTCCGTGACGTCTGACCAATACAGCACAAGAGTCTGGGTATTTTTCCACTGCACGTGCCATTCTTTCCTTCAGATCCTTCTCTTCTGGTGTATTCTCAATAATTGGAACCACTAGTGTATCATCATATCTGAAAGAAAAATGAATGTTCATGTACTTAAAAACCTGCTGTGTCTGGATGTATGAAACTTTTCTCTAAGAGATTCTCCTTTGACTGTGTAAAGATGTTAAATTCTCAACACTAGTGATTTTACGCTTTTCTCTTGTGAGTTACGCTGTAACATAAGAACTCTCAGGAACATCTCCCATTGCCAAATGTAGCAATACCTGAGCTACACTTGAGGCACAAAAAGAAAATAACACTTTAAGGTATTAGGTGTAGCCGTTTGTTCATGTATAACTTTGTAGTTGGGTCCCTTCAAAACTTTTTCAGACTCTCTTCATCCTGTATTGGCATCACATACAAGCTGTATCTCAGATGAAATTATTTAAAAGATTCACATCATGAAGAAGGAAATGAAGCTGTTTGCTGGAGAGCAGAAAAAAAAATTAATTTAGGTAGTCCAAAAAGCCCCTGGAAATAAGATTGTCCTGCTAAGGCATATAAATAGAAAGAAGGGTCAACACGTGAAAAATAAATTGTCTGTGATGGAGTCATTGGTGGGCTATATGTGATCTTAAGAGAGCCTGAGAACCCCAGTTCCAAAGACAAGATGATGCATGTTACTCAGTGGAACTTGTCTAAGAGTTTCTTCTGAAGGAGGACTGGGATATTTGGCATTGTTTGAACCTTAATTAACACTGGCAGAAACTTGTTTAAATAGTTTTAATAAGTCCCCAGTTCAGATTCAGTTTTATCACTGAGATCCCATAGATATTTCATGAGTGGATGCTAGTAGTACTTACTTTTATAGAACACAGACAGAAACCAATGGTAAAAATAAAACAGCTTGTACTTCAAATCAGATATTTAGAAAACTAAGAAGTCTTATCCCTTACAGTTTTCAATGCCGATTCTTTCCCAAGGAAGTCTATTAAAATAGTGAATGAAGAAAATTAAGTGTTTTTTGTAGGTTTACTTTGACTTTTACATATGCTGATCGATAAAATTAGATTTGGAGTGTTTTCTACTAGTGAGACCAAATGAGCTAAGGGATTGTTTTCCAAGGTTCTGTTTTCTACTTGGACATAAGTTTGGAAGCAGGTATAAATACCATAACTGATTCCTAATCATAACCGTAAGCTTTTTATTGAGAACTAGTATCTATAAAACTCCAAGAAGGCTCTGAATGAGTTAAATACTTGATATCTCTTTCGTTTTATTGAAATATAAGCAGCCTACATTTAACCAAACTTTCATATAAAATATCCTGGGACAGTCTGAGGCTTTCAAAGCTATTTACTATAGATCTAGTTCTCCTTCTACCGAAGTCAAAAGTAAAACTGTTTTGACATCACTGGAATAATATTTAGGACAACAAATAGTTCCGTTTATCCTATCTGTAGCATTTTCCTGGATAGCTTCCAGAAAAGGTTTATGTAATTAGAAACATGTTGTGAATCTGTTTTTTGAAAGATCCCATTCTGTACGATCCAATTTCTTTTGAATTCAACGGGGAGCCTTGTGTGAGGCAAGACAGTGGAATCAGTCTAGTATGGACAAATATGTACTTAGGAACCATGTAATCTGGAGCTTTGATTTCTTTAGTTTTTCTGGTGAATTAACAGGATGACACAGGATATGGAACCCAATAAATACAATGTCTCCTAATGAACATTTAGGAATGTTTGAGAATTCAAAATGCATATCCAAAGAAGAAAATTGTTGTGGATTTTTTTTAAACTAGTGTTGTTAGACAATTCAGTATAAGGGGTGTCTTTTGCCCCATTAAAAACACAAATGCTAATGCTGACAGGAAGGTAAAGCTGGCAAGTCAATCAAAACAGAATAAAATATGTGCAGGCATAAAATCACACGCCAGACATACAGCTTGCTCCCTTGCCAAAGGGCAATAGTTAGTTATAAAAATTAACATCAAAAAGTGAAAGAATTTAGCATTTCATTTTTCCATCTAATTGTCACATATTATGTAAATGTTGTCTGCAGATCCCAATTCAACACTCTGTGGGTGGAGTCCTCAAAACAAGCCATCACACATAATCTGGAATAACTCAGCACTTACCTCAGAGCTCATCCGTGAAAAGTAGTAACATTATCTTTAATGCCCTGTTTATTCTGATTTTTCTTTCAAAGTCTGTCAAGTAAAATCTGAAATCCTCTACTCTCTTAACATGCCCTAAACTAGCACAGGCAGTGATATGTGAAGTCCACCCAAATGTAGTTTGTAGGTTGTCAATCCAACCTAATGTTGGCTGGCTCCAGTTTCAGTTTAACATTGAATAGATGTATTAACATCTCTGCTCCTGCGATATTTGTCAGGACATAGCTCTTTATTTGGTTTGTTTCTGTAGCTCAACAGTCCACAGTAGCCTTGACATTACAAGATTTTATCTCATCTCTTCCACAGGCTTGAGACTTTCTTAGGGAAAGCCAATGACTGATTTATTCCACAGGTCTTTTTTACTTCTTATTCCTAATACTTTATATCACACAGTTCAACGCACTAACTCAAAAGACTTGTCATCTATCTTGTGGAAAACAAATGATCAAATAGCATGCCTCTTTTCTTAAATATAGATATGTACCGGTAATAGCCTCCTGAAGTGCACTTCTGGATTCCTTTTATCATCTCCTGATGGGTAATACTGAACTCACTCCCTGAGTAAAGAAGGGTAGCCATAACAGCAGCCTTGGAATGAGTATGGATCACTGCGCCTGCCCCTAAGAACAGAAAAAGAAGAAAAAAATATATTTTTAGAATTAATTTAAAATGTGTCTGTTAAGAAAATTTTATTCACATACTTGATACATTTCCTTTGGCTTGGCATCTTAGCAAATGGTGATCTACAGTATTAGATGAAAAAATACACAGCAACCTAAATAAAGGTGTAAGATAATTACTCATCTATAAAGGATAATTATGTATTGTCTTAGGACACTAGAGTTAACTTGCAGTTAGTGACAAATTCCAGAGGAGAAACTACGCGCATAAATTCAAGGAGAAACACTACCTGTACATTTCTTTACATACTGCAATGACTGAAACCATCTACTATCAGAGTTCTGAGATTCTAAAGAATTTCCAAACTTATTTGTGAGATGAAAGTTAAAAGACTTTTAGTTTCTTTTTATACTAGTACTCTTCTTCAATTATCCACTGATTCGCTGAAAAAATATTTATTGTTATCTTATTGTGTCGTGATTGAATGATAGGTAGACAATAATTATAATTTACTTACAAAGTTGCAATGTTGCCCAAAACATGAAATGAGTTTTCCTCAGGTACACATGTAAGCTTCTTGTGTAGGAATATCAGAAGAGACTCCCTAAATTTTTTCTAAAGTAACAGATGTAAATCTTACACAACAGCAAAAGCTCTCTATTACTGTCCACTGGCAAAAGAGAAGTTTCATACTTTTTTCACCTATCTGTAATTTAGAGCCTTTGATGACAGCCAATGGTTGTATAAGCATCTAAAACATAGCTGCTGAATAGGTAAAACTACTGTATAAAACACCTGTAAATCCCCCAGCTGCTCCCACAACCTACTAATATACTGCACTAAAAATTAGTACCAAAAAGATGATCACAGGTATACGTGAGAAGATTAAAATGCAAATGAAACTCACAGGATGTTACCATGGATTACCTTCCATTGTACATAGTCCTCTGCAAACCAATTTATTTTATAGTTTCATGTTCATTTCACTGTAACTTCCAGGTATAAAGAGTATGGTATTGAATTTCAATTTTGTGGATGCATACATACAGTGTTTCAATCATTGCTGAACTAGTAACATTTGCTACACACCTCTCATAGTGTAGGCATTCATAAAAAGAGGTGTGCACTGGCTTTTCTTTAATTTCTTGTGTGGTGGAGGACCACTGATGTCCTGTCCATTCATGTCACAAACAAACATATCTTCTGGCTGTAAGAAAGAAGAAATTATTTTGACCTGTGATGACCCAAATGGTTTTGTTTTCCTTCTAGGGAGACAAATATATACACCATATATTTAATATAGACAGTGATTTTAACTTTGTAAAATTGCTTTAATGCACCACATTTATTCTAGCTTCTAAAACTACTTACTGATATTCTGCAATGCGAATTAATATCAGACTGCTGCCAAGCAGATATTTGTAAAACTAAAATTTTCTCAGAAAGGAGACAGCCTGTATCTAAATAACAGATAATAGATCAAAAGGAAAAGTAGTAACTGACTCAAAAAAAGAAATGTAGATGTACTTTTCCTTCCCCCCTTAAAGAACCAACACAGGACATGAAGTAAACCTACAAGTAATATATTTAACTTGTAGAACTATTTCTTTAAACTTTGCTTTTAGTAGCTTTACATGAATGTTACCTTTGCATCAATCCACTACTCATAATGGTACAAAGAATTGTTCAGGCTAGCAATCAAATTTTTTCTTTAATGTTATTTTAAAAATCAGCAGGA